GGAGGATGTTACTTAGAGCTTAGGTTTCAAACGTCCGAAGCAATTTCATGTTGAATTCAGCGGTGTTATATGTGTTTATATTATACAATTCTTAATGGTATAAGATCTTACTATTTAATATATTCAGTATATAGTATATACAGTGGAATGCTAAAGTCGTGCCTAAAATTTGGAAATCATCGTAAATAGCTGGGGAGCACTTGATTTGAAAAGTCGTGCCTTTTTAGTAAAACGCATAGGAATTGCAATGTTTTGTTGGATTTGGTCTTTGGAATAGTTTTTGCTAATAAATCTTGCGTTTAGGTTGTGTTTAGCATCAAGGGTACCTTTTCCATATTGTTAATAAATGTTGTGTTTAGCATCAAGAGTACCTTTTCCATATTGTTAATAAATCTTGCGTTTAGGTTGTGTTTAGCATCAAGAGTAACCTTTTCCATACCAAGTCAAACTGGATGTGAGTGTAGCGATGAGTTGGTGTTTCTATCTTTTTCTTTCCAGTGTGCTGCGGCAGCCATTTTCACTTTTCACTGCGTGCTCAACGCGGCATTGTACATACGTAGTATATATAATATGTATGTATGTATGTGTATTTATATATATATCGTGTATATATACATCGTGTATATATATATATCGTGTATATATACAATTGTTTTTATATATAGTATATATTTAGTTTATTTATATATATCGTACATATATATATATAGTTTATATTTATATATATATATAGTCTATCTATAGTGTGTATCTATATATAGTATACATATAGTATAGTGGACATATATATAATTTAGATATAGCCTATATAGTAAAGATATAGTGTATATGTATATATATATATATACATACAGTGAATACAGAAAGTATATATACAGTTTATATATAAATAGTACATATATAGCACATGTATAGTACATATTTAGTATCGTGTATATACATATTTATATAGATATAGTCAAAGGAAGTTTCGTAGAGGAAGCTCCGAGTTACGGAAAGTTAACATCAGAGATCATGAAGTCACATTCTCACTGGCCCAAAGATCATTGTGTCCAGTTGGCATGTGCCTTAAGAGATCATAAAGTCACATTCTCACTAGCCCAAAGATCATTGTGTCCAGTTGGCATGTGCCTTAAGAGATCATGAAGTCACATTCTCACTAGCCCAGAGATCACTGTGTCCAGTTGGCATGTGCCTTAAGCTCCCTAGGCCAGAGATCATTGTGTCCACTTGGGAAGAGGTAGAATGGAGGTAGTAGAGGTAGTAGAGGTAGACTAGAGGTAGAGTAGAGGTAGAGTAGAGAAGGCTAGAGAAGAGAAGCAGAGAGGTGGAAGTAGAGCAGAGTAGAGGTGTTGTGTCTTGCGATTGCATTGTGTTTTGCAAGTCGTTCTTGGCGGATCGCATTGGAACTGCTACATCATGGATGCGATTTTAATGTTAGGATATGCACGAAACATGGTGTTTTTTCGGGTAAACGGAGGTCTCGTTGCGGAGAAAAGTACGCTCGCGCGCGCGACGGTCTTAGGCATCGTCGCTTTAGTGTGGAATCATTCTCGGTACTGGCCGTCCGGTTGTCCCGTTGTCCCGTTCCAGTTGTCCCGTTGTCCCGTTCCCGTTGTCCCGTTTCCCGTTCCCGTTGCCCGTTTCCCGTTTCCTGTTGGAGAGCTGCAGCTGTGAGAAAATCTTTGTTTTCCGCTACCATTTCAGCTGCTTCCATGTGGAATTTCAGCGACCTTTTCGCCTGAAATGATGGTCAAAGATCAGCAACTGTGGTAAAACTGCGATTTTGAAAGCATCTGTGCGTAGGAGGTTCTCTTTGTAAAACCTTCTTTGTGTAAACCAGGCGTCTGTGTGTAAAGTTTCTCTGTGTAAAAAGACATCTGTGCGTAAAGGCATCTGCGTTTGTGTGTGTGTAAAAGCGTCTCTCTGTAAAAACTTCTGTGCGCATCTATATATATATATACAATTATATATATAAAAATGTTGTACGTAAAGGCGTCAATGTGCCAGGGTTTGTCTGTGTAGAAGTTTCTGCCTGCAAAAGTTTCTCTGTGCAAGAGCTGCTCTGTGTAGAGTCTTCTGTGTGTTTGTTAAAGTGTCGTGTGTAGAAGCCGCTTTGTGTCAAATCATCTGAGTGTAAAAGCTGCTCCGTGTAAAGGCTTCTCTGCGTAAAGGCTTCTGTGTGTGAAAGCTGTTCTGTGCAATGAAGCCTCTCTGCGTAAAGGCTTCTTTGTGTAAAAGCTTCTGTGTGTAAGAGTTTCTCTGTATAAAAGTTTCACTGTGCAAAAGTTTGCTCTGTGAAGAGGTGTTCTCTGCGTAAAGGTTTTTTGTGTAACTATTTCTGTGTGTAAAAGGACATCAATCACCAATCATCATTCATCAATCATCAATCATCGCTCATCTACCATCAATCATCATCCACCATCATTATCATCGCCATGGTCATCGTCAACATCATTATCATCATCGTCATCATCGTCATCATCGTCATCATCGTCATCATGTATCATGTGTCTTTCATCTTTCACCTTTCATTTTTTAACCACTCGTTATTGATCATGTTTAATCGCCATTCACCACCACAATCATAAGAAGGATATTCAACGTCATCATCAGCAGCAGCATGCAGCAGCACCATCCCCATCATTCATCATTTAACATTGTCGTCATCATCATCTTCTTCTTCATCATCGTCATTGTCATTATTATCACCATCAGCACCATCACCGTCACCATCGTTATCGTTCATCATTCATCAATCATCATTCATCAGTCATCATCCATCCTTCATCATTCTTAATCACTCATCACATCACCATGTTTTCTTTTGTGTCATCTTCTCCCCTCCTCCTTCCTGCTTTCTTTCAGGGTATATTGTCGCGTGTGCTTGCGTGATCTTGCCTGGATGGCCCAACTTTACCTATGATTGTTGCCTTTTGTCTCTGTCATCCTCCTTCCGTGACTTCGTGATTTTGTTGGAGCTCGTACTTTGTATGCCCCTCTCGAGTGCTGTTCCTTCCCTTAGTCCTTGTCCGTTGCTGGGCGAATCTGCTGCCCCCCGTTGCCCAGTGAATCCGTTGATGTGCAAAAGTTTCTGTGTGTAAAAAAGTATCTGTGCGTAAAGGCGTTTGCGTGTGTGTAAAAGCGTCTCTCTGTAAAAACTTCTGTGTGCATCTATATAAAAGTTTTGTGCGTAAAGGCGTCTATGTGCCAGGGTTTGTCTGTGTAGAAGTTTCTGCCTGCAAAAGTTTCTCTGCAAGAGCTGCTCTGTGTAGAGTCTTCTGTGTGTTAAAGTGTCGTGTGTAGAAGCCGCTTTGTGTCAAATCATCTGAGTGTAAAAGCTGCTCCGTGTAAGGGCTTCTCTTTTGTGTAACTATTTCTGTGTGTAAACGGACATCACTCATCATTCATCAATCATGAATCATCAATCATCAATCATCATCCATCCTCACCATCATCATCATCATCATCAGCAGCAGCAGCATCTTCATCCTCATCGTCACCGTCATCAACGTTGTCATCGCCATCATCGTCATTGTCGTCATCATCGTCATCATCCTCATCATCCTCA